TGGTGAATAAATACTAATTTTTCTGCATTGAAAGGTAACAAGTGGTTTCTTCTGTCTTCATAGACACGGCCAGCTTTAGAAAAAAGTATTTCGCTGTACACACTGCTGCAGGGGGCTGAAAAATACATTTTTGCAAACTGATAAATTTGGGTATTGTGTAGTAATACCTTCCCACCAAATATAAGGGTCACGGAAGAATATCCGGCGATAAGACTGGCCGAATATCCGTGCCCGGTATCCGGCCAAGCAGCTATCCGTTTCATCTCTAATAATTACCGCCAAAGTGTTGATGACTCCAGGCATTATCAGTACCAGGCGCATCGTAACATGTCGCGCAGGTGCGAACACGCAGCCCCCGTTTGTACTCGTGTGCCATCGCTTGCTGACTGAAGGCTGGTAGCGCTAAGCAACTGTTCTCTCTTATATGTAAAAGAAAAACAAGTACTCTATTTTTTCATGTAAATTTCACCTTTTTGCTATACGTTAATAAGGAAATATGATCGAATAAAGTAGCGTTTTTCCAGGAGGATTACAAGTCCTGCTAGCGGGCCTCCGGGCGATCTATCTTAATGGTGGTTAATATAGCGCATAGCGACATATTATAGCGCGCTATCTCTCCATAACACTTAGTGCGTGATATGTAAGTAGTCACCATGGCGCTATTGCGCTATGGCACTTTGGCGCTATTAAGTATTAATGTCTAGCGGCAACTAGTTCCAGCAGCAGCGCTGTTGGGAGAGGACGTGTGCCGCAAATTGGATCTAGTAGCACGCTATTCATCGCGCGTGACCTAGTTTAGTGTTAGACGTTGTTTACGAGTAGTTAGTGTATACTGTATCAGATACATCGATCGATGATCGAAGGACACAGTTGTCTGCTATAAAAGAAACCTAACCAATGTTTTTAAATGTAAATAAAATAAGTGTATGTAAATAGTTGATTTTTATAAATACAATCAATAAACTTTTAAATATACCTTTATTTGATTTCTAGTTTATATTAAGGTTAAAAAAACGTTTACATCAATTATAATAAAGAATAATTCAATTTATTTCGTTTTACAAAGTACATGCCTTAAAATATTTTTAGGATTTTAGAAAGTCGTAAGCCTAAAAAGTATTAAAGAGCGTTCATTAGTTTTTCTTTACCACTTTGTTTTATTTTAGTCTAAAATGTGACTTATTACGAAATAATGTTCTTATATAGCACGCTGTCTGTCCAATGGACGACATGTAATGTAACGTGCTACGAGATATAGCGTGCTGCAAAACATAGCTCGCTTGCCGGTCTCCTACACGCTTTCTTATAAATAGCGCACTATAACATAGCATATTTAATAGCGCGCTAGAAATTTATAGTTAATAGTCTTTTCTAGTCGTTTTGAACAACTTTAATCTATCCTTAAAAAGTCCATTCACGGCCTCTACCACCCATCCGCAAATTGTGACACAGCGATTCTGATTGGTTTGAGTAGTAGTGAGTTGGTGTTCACCTTTTATTTAAGATTCTGGCATATATGATTTGTATCCACATCCTTCTAACAGACTTATACTGTCTTTGAATCCCTTATCCAAAATACAGTAGGCGCGCGAGTTCATGTCCATCCTGAGGAATGCGGTAGTGCTGTGACCTAATCAATTATGGTAATGTCGATAATTACTACCGATTTAGTCAACAGCTGTCAATTTGGTTTATTGTAACTTAAGGTGATTTTGCAAATTATGAAATAAAATAAATGTGATAAGTACTTACTTGTTTATTGCTAATAGAGAAAAATATTTTTTAAAATGCAATTTAATCACTATCAGATGCAAAAACAACCGACAGAGCAGAGTCGGAATCAGTATCTTCGCCGTCGCTGACTTCAATTACGAATTTGTCGATCGTATTTTCCATTAGTCCGTCTTTTTGCCAGTAATGCTCTTCCAAAATTATAACGTGATCATCGAATCCACACCAATCTTTTTCTGTCACCTGGTTTATAGCCATCTCCGTTACTTCTTTCAATCTTGTTAGGGATAAATCTGAGTTAACGTTGTACTCCCTCACAACTCTCTTGACTTTTGCCCATGCTAACTCAATTGGGTTTAAGTCGCACATGTACGGTGGCAATCTTAAAACCTCATGTCCGTGACTACGGATGAGCTGGTCTATTTTAAAACTTTTCTCTTGGGGCGCATGCAATTTTATCAAATCAAAAAGCTCGCCTTTTCTCATGCTTAGTGAAGCCTCTACATTGTTTCTAATAAGCCATTCTAACATAACCGTTTTAGTGCTTGATTTTGTAGGAACTTTATTTTCCTGAACACTGTGATATGGTGCGTTGTCCATAACGACAACGCTGGATGGTGGCAAATTGGGAATGAACATGTCAGTCGCCCATTTCTCAAAGTTCGTACTGTTCATTTGCCCGTGGTAATCGCCTGTAGCAGTACCAGCTTTGAAAAGCAATTTTGCGCTATCCAAAAAACCACGTCTGGATCCGGCGTGAACGAGAATCAGCCTGTTCGTTGAGCTGGTGTCAGTCAGTATCGCGTCTATATAATCGTTTCTCCAACACTTTTTAAATGTGAGGTTATTGTCGATCCAAGTTTCGTCTAAAAAGAAAATATCGCGATTGTTTTCTCTGTATTGACGAATTTTTTGCAAATAATTTGACCGCGCAAATACAACAGCTGGTCTTTCTACCAAAATCCTTCGCTTGTTGTGACATTTTTGCCATTTATAGCCCATTTTCTTTAGAAGTTTTCGTAAACTTGTAGTCCCCCAGGGAAAATTTATTTTTTTCCCGGATTGCCGCCAGAAGTTTAGGACAAGTGGGAACGATATTTTTTGTCAAATAAAATTCTTCTATACATCTGTGTATTACACTTCTATCGAAATCATCTACATTTAAATTCCCCATTTTATTACACGATTTCCCTTTTTTAGAAGGCGAATGAAGAGGTCCATTTTTTGCTTCTGTTTGAATTCTAGACAATGTTCTTTTAGTAAGTCCAGTGTAACGGGCCGCTCGATCTAAAGCATTGTTAACGGGAAAAGCGAATTTATTCTCTTTTTTCTCTTCAACACACATCTGTAGGACATTTCTCGCCATTTCACGTGCTTGCTTATGTATTATAAAAGGTTTTTTCCTACCCGAACTTGCTGGAAGCGAAGTAGTCATGGTTTATTCACGATAAAATAACACAATCTCGACTAATTTTCTGTATCGATAAGCGCGCGTCACAACCGTCAAGGACAACACTCGACTGCATACAAATGCGGCGAGGTGGTTGAAAGCGGGGCGAGCTGCCCCCGCGCGCCGCCTCTGTCCCCGATGGACATGAACTCGCGCGCGTACTGTAAATATATCATTCTCTCTATAATATGATCTTAAGGCGGAACCCTCACAGAACAAATTTGTTATTATTTCTGCATCTGATGTAGTTGCTTTGTATGGCACAATCAACAATATATCCATCACATGAGACAATCATGAATGGTTTTAGTAAGTTTCTATATTTGTAAAGAGAGTAACTCTGCTTTTGGAACAATTAGTTCGAACTTTTATTTATGTATGTATATTATCCATAACAAATTACAATAGCATTGGTGTTGTTTTCATTTCCATAAAGGCCATGTGGGATTGTTAACTTGTGCTCCGGTAGTTGCTCTCGTGTTAACTGGTTTATTTCGAAGTTTTGAGGCACACAATCTTGAAGCAAAATCTCTCTTATTTTGTCTATTAAATTCTCTAGTGTTCTGCGTGGTACTGTTACTAAAGTGGCAATTCTTTCATTTTAATCCCCTGTCCTCATCTTCTTTATAAGTGCTGCTAGGAACAAGCATACTTTTCATGCTTCATTTATGCGTGGAACTTCTAATATCCTGTTGAATTTTTCTTTGGTATTTCCGATCCATTAATCGAATACTCTTTCATCCATTCCAAGAACATTGTCGAAGTCTAATGTAGAATTTATTTTGATAAAAAAATACGTGTACACTCGGGGAGTGCTGCGGTAAAGCTATTGCGTAGCATTTTTATCAACTTATGCAATTATAATTATTTATTTATTTTATTTATGCAGTTTTTTTTTCTTTGTTTTTTTTTTTCTTTGATATTAATTCAAGTTACACTTTTTGAGCGTGGTTACTTGATAAGAAAACAATTATTTTTTCTTTTATTGAATAAATGAGAAGTTAATATTGTTTAAAATATTTTTATCATCTTATAAAAGATGTAGATTATTCAGGAATTTTTATTATTAAACTATAGGTTTACGGTAATTAAGGAGTTCTTTCGACAAACGATAATTTTCTATAAAGTCTGTGTTTATTAAATATTCTAAATTCACGAAAGTTGCAAGCATGACGACGACTCATATAAATCCGAAGTATATGCTTCTTGCAATAAACTATATTATTGTTTAAAATATTTTTATTATCTTACAATACATGCAACTAGTCTACACGCATACGTCTAGTTGCGGGCACACAAACACCGTGCCGAAGTCTGCCGAACTTAAACGACGCTAGACGATGGTAGGTTTTCGGGTCTTAGGTTTTTTTCGTTACGGAATTTCTTGATTCGGTCGCCGCGCTCAAAGCCCGCGATAAAAGCTATGCAATAGCTTAACAATACATGATGCACTTGATCTGCAGTGAGTGTCCAAACTATTTGCAGAATCATATAATGACTCCCATAAATTAATACTTAAATGTTCACTGCAAACACGAGCTGGTTTAGATATGTAGTTATTTATTTATTTATTAGGGATAACAACAGCCTTCATTCTGTGAAAAAAAAAAACTTCTTATAGACATAAGAATTTGTGATTGCTAAGAACTATAGCACGGAGTTTGTCACTGATGCAATGCAATGTGGTACCGTAACAATTTACATTAATTGAAAACACAACGATTGGTGTTGATAGCCGCTCTTCTATGGTCTGGTAAAGTTAGTCCATTTGGTGTGCGACTCACTTCTTCGTTTGAAACAGACGACTGCACCTTTGCAACTATAGGCTCATCTGCTGTTGACGGCTCCTCATTTGCAGATTGTGGTCTGTTGACATCTTGTGTACGACTGGCCTCTCTTTGAGTGCGCAATCAACAAGGGTGACAGGCTTTATCAGTTTCTGTAATCTAGAAATAAAAAAAAATACTTCATTGACTTCCAACAATCACATCAATTACCTAGCTCGAAACTTAGCCTGAGCTAATGCTATGGCAACTAGGATAACGGATAGTACTTGTATACGATTATAAACACCCATGACTGAGGTACAAATGCTCATGCTCATTACACAAACATTTGTCAATTGCGAGATTCGAACCCGCAACTGTTGGTTTCGTAGTCTCCGCTGACCAATGGACTAAGACTGTCATTAAAAAATTAAAATATACATAGCATACTTGTCTTGAAGCAACACTGTTCTCAATAATTAAAAAAATATATCCACTGATGCAGGTGCGTGGGGTTATTTTTTTGTTTTATTAAGGACAACAAACAGTTTTATAATAAAGATTACAATTAAAATCTTATGTAAATAGATAAACTAATTACACAACCAACACCGTTATCCACAAATTACCGTACTAATTAAAGTTATAAGGCACAGAGAACACAAATATAAAATAAAATAGCTAAAAAAATAAAAACGAAAAACGAAAAACTAGAGACAACTTACATCACTCACATACTTAGCCGTTAACAGCAAAATCGTGAATATTACACATGTATTACAAAAAATAAAACAATTTATGTAGATTAACGTTATAAAATTATAAAATAGTAATAAGGATAAAAATAAAAATTACAAGTCATTTAATACAAGTTTTATAGCTTTTCTAAATATTCTCTCATGTCTTATCTTCATATCGTTTTTTTTCTTTTTTTTTATAGAAGAGGGGGGCAAACGAGCATGTGGCTCACCTGATGTTAAGTGACTACCGCCGCCCATGATCAACCGCAACACCAGGGGGAATTGCAGGTGCGTTGCCGGCCCTTTAGAAAGGAGTAAGCTCTTTTCTTGAAGGTCCCCAGGTCGTATCGGTCCGGAAAAATCGCCGGTGGTAAATTATTCCACAGAGAGGTTGTACGCGGAAGAAAACTCCTTTTGAAACGTACAGTGGTGGACCGCCAAGCATCCAGATGGTGTGGATGGTATCGGGACGTTTGCCGTGTAGTGCGTTCACGAAATTTGGCGGCTGGGATTAATCCGAACAATTCCTCAGAGCACTCCCCGTGATAGATGCGATAAAATACGCAAAGAGATGCAACATCTCTTCGCAGCGCCAGTGAATCGAGCCGATCGGAAAGCACTCGGTCGTCGACGATTCGAGCCACTCTGCGCTGGATGCGGTCAAGTGGAATGAGCTGGTACTGGGGAACCCCAGCCCAGAGATGGGAACAGTATTCCATGAGCGGCCGAAACTGCGCCTTGTAAAGTTGCAGGCGGTGTGCCGGCATGAAATACTGTCCCGCTCTGCTGAGCACGCCAAGCTTTTTAAAGGCCAATTTGGCCTTCCCTTCCAAGTGACCACGAAACTGCACGCCACTCGATATGTCGATGCCGAGGATTCCGATACTGTCTGAGGCAACAAGGGGAGTGCCTTGAAACTGAGGGGATACGACAAAGGGGTTCTTTTTAGCGGTTAACGCGCAAACTTGTGTCTTCTGGGGGTTAAACTGGACTAAATTTAGTCGCCCCCAATCCGAGACTCTGTCCAGCAGAGACTCGACTTTAGACACAAGTTTGTCCCGGCACTCAGAGACGTTTTCCCGAGAAATATTGGCTCGGCCGATGTAAAGAGCATCACCAGTGCTGTCATCTGCATAGCAATGAATGCTACGGGTTTGCAACATATCATTGATATGCAGAAGAAACAGCGTTGGCGATAGTACGCAGCCCTGTGGAACACCAGCATTAAAAAGGCTTGCAATCGGAGCTTGCACCGTCTACAACGACCTTGATGCTCCGATCTGCAAGAAAACTGGTGATCCAATCGCACAATTTCTCGGGAAGCCCATAGGAAGGGAGCTTCGAAAGAAGCGCTTTGTGCCAAACCCGATCGAAGGCCTTCGCAATGTCCAAACTAACGGCCAAAGGGGGAGGCCCTTGGACTCTACTGCCTCCGCCCATCTGTGAGTTAGGTAGACCAGAAGATCACCAGCTGACCTATCACGGCGAAAACCGTATTGGCGGTCACCAATCAGCTGGTGATCCTCAAGGTACCTCATGAGCTGGCAGTTTACAATGGACTCCATTGTTTTGGAGAACAAGGAGGTGATGGCGATAGGCCGGTAGTTGGACGGGTCTGAGCGGTCGCCTTTTTTAGGGATCGGGTGGACGAAAGCCGTCTTCCATGATTTTGGGACTACGCCTAGGGAGTAGGAGTACCGGAAAAGACGCGTTAAAACCGGTGCCAACTCTGGAGCACACGTCCTCAGCACAATTGGGGGGATTCCGTCAGGCCCACTCGACTTGTCATATCTTTCAATATTCTGTCACTTTACCTTTGTAAAATAGAACACCCACATAAAATGCACACACTAGCGCAGTTTGGGTGACTTGGTCCAGGTTGTTGGTCATAAATGCAAGATATTTCTTGTAAATTATCATTGCAAGATCTTTGCATGCTTCATACATATGGTCATCTTCGGTAATCCGAAAAACAAAAGTACTTATAATAAGGATGTCGTCATCCGTACATAGATCTATGCGAAAAATCGATTGTAATCTATTGTGTTTGGTAATAGCAACAGAGGTTAAATGTTGAGTTAAGATGTCATCCAATTCACATCATATTATGTATAATGGGTGCGAATACAATTTCTAAAACAACTAAAATTGATCATTAAAGATTAAGGTGGACATACCTGTAATAGATTTATTATTTAGACAAATATGAATGGATATGGTTCCTTATAATAAATAAACACTTACGATTTGTGGATACACCCTGCTACAGAGTAATGTGGTAGTTCTTATATCAAGTTCCAAAGCACGGTATCGATGCAGTGTATTAACTCATATGCTGCAGTTGATGCAAATATTGCGAGTAACTCTGCTACGACCGCTCATCGTGTCTAAATCAAATAATCCTGTGACAACTAGACCCAAATCATAGGGCACAAAGCGAAGTCCAGATGAGACCTTCAAGAAAAGAGTTTACTCCTTTCTAAAAGGCCGGCAACGCACCTGCAATTCCCCTGGTGTTGCGGTTGTTCATGGGCGGCGGTAGTCACTTACCATCAGGTGAGCCGCATGCTAGGTTGTCCCCTCTTTAAAAAAAGAATAACCCTGCCTTACAGCCTAAATAAATAAATTACAGAGAAGACAAAAGATCTACCTTTTCTGTTCGTTGCAGCAATCGGGACAGAAATACGAAGTATATTTTCTGATATTTTTTAACCCAGCACTGTCTAAACCGACGTCGTAAAATGTTTCTCTTTCTGCCATCATTTTTACGAGAACATTATTGAAGAACATGCACTTGATTTTTTGGAACTGAGCCCCGCGTTGTGTCTTCTACATCAATATTTAATAATTTCATTATGATTTCAAGTCTGAAATCATGGAAACTTATATTCACCGAAAAATGTGCAGCGTGTACGAATTATATACTAGTCAAAACAAAATAAGGGCCACCACGTTTTTACAGTATTCTCACAAATTCTTGAGTTTGAAGGGTTTATTAATGATAGATTAGATTGCATAAATTAATTGATTTTTATTGTAAATAGCATAAAATTATGACGGAAACAAAAAAAAATTACACCACTTTTTTTGAAAATTTATTTTATTTGAAAAGGAAACAGCGAGATAAAAAATTAAGTGAAAAAAAAACAAAGTGTTGGTTGATTTGTGGGTTTCCTCAATATCTGGTGTGCCCTCCTAGTTTTCTAATGCACTCTTGAATCCTGGAAGGTACACTTTCCACCAGGTGTACCACTGTTTCTTGAGGAATTATTTCCTAGCTTGATTTCAGAATTTTTATTAGCTGTCTTTCATTGTGCACGGGTTGGTTTGTGCTTCGAACACTGTATTTCAGTAAATCCCACATGTGTTCAATGGGATTGAGATCCGGACAATTTGCAGGCCAGGGCAGTACCTGTATACCAGCCTCCTCTAAGGCTTCTCTGGTGGCCCTAGCTGTATGAGCGCGAGCATTATCGTGTATCAGATGGAATCTTGCTCCGATTCTCTGTGCATATGAGACCACATGGGGTCTAATAACCTCCTCGATATAAAGTTGAGCTGTAATTGTGCCTTCGTTGAGAATAAAAAACTCAGTTCTACTTGATATAGAGATTCCTCCCCACACCATAACATTGGGGCCCTCAAATCTGTTACTTTCATGGATACAAGCATCCGAAAATCGCTCACCTTCACGCCACCAAACCCTAATACGGTTATCACTAAAAAATTTAACTTTGCACTCATCCGTAAACAGTACTGTGCTCCAATCACTCATATCCCATGTCAGATGCTGCCTTGCGAACGATAATCGGTTTGCACGATGGGCACTTGTTAATGGTATCCGTACTACGCGTCTCCTGGAGAACTGCTTGTCCTCGAGTAACCGATTTCTAATGGATTGATCACTGACGCGTGTACCCGTCGCCTGCCGCAAACGGTTTTGTAAGGAGCGGGCAGTGATGCGGCGTTCTCTGCGCACAGTCAAGCGCACGTAGCGATCCTCCTGTGCGGTAGTGGCTCGATTTCTGCCAGATCCCCGTCTCCTGGTTAGTCTTCCAGTCTCTTGAAATCGATTCCAAGCATTCTGGATCGCTCGCTGGGAAAAACCCAGCTGCAACGCCACAGAACGCTGCGAATGGCCTTCTTGAAGCAATGTTACGGCCCTAGTTACAGTTGGTAAGTCCATATGTCGTCGAATTCTCGGCATAACTTTTTTAAAATGTTAATTCAGCCACTAGTTAAACAAAACTTAAACCGTTCTTGACAGCATCGTCACTTTGACTGAGTTAAAATCTGTCTTAAAATCGGGTAGAACCCACTTTAAACAATTATGAACCTGGAGTACTCAAAAAATGTTTGTAAACAAATAATGTAACAACACAATAAACAATCAGCTACTTGAGAACGCATAAAATATGAATTCTTGCTACCGACGTAAAAAATAACAAGTGGCCCTTATTTTGTTTTGACTAGTATATAACATTTACTGGAACACGTGAACGCCTAACTTCTTTTACCAACGTATAGTTTAGTGCTTACATTATTAATATGATAGCATTTGATCCTGATAATCTATACCACCCATGTACTTATTGTACTTTACTACAACTTCAGGCTTGGAAACGGTCCCATCGCGTCGATTCGTAACGATGGTCAAATCAGATCCATATTGTGATGAAATCATTAAAACGTCCCGCTGGTCTTTCCATTTCGTAACAAATACAACTACTATTAGTTGAATTTTGCTATCGATACGCCACGTTTCAATGCTATTTGTAAAGACTTCTTTTGGATTATTTTTCGATTGATACGTAAGTACCCGAACAATATATTTTAAGAGTCAATAATTTATGTGCAAGATTTACAGAATTATAAAAGTTATCCCATATAAACGGAATACCCCTTGTAAAAATAATCAGATAGTAAATTCAAAACAACTTATTACAGTGATAGGCATCGAATATAAAGAGTTATACCGTAGGGATGCTTTTTGCTTTTTAGATATTGACGGAATATTAAACGACCACGAAACAAAACCATTGATTCATCAATGGCCAGATCTTTAGACGGTTAATAAATTTCTCCTATTCGCTGGTTAAAAAAGTTAATTAAACTATTTATTTTTGCCTTCCTAATACCGGACAAGTCATCTTCAAAATTTTATGATCTCAATATTTACAGAAATCTGTTAAATTAAACAGTGGATGCTTTTTCCAGTATTCTGTCACATGGTTTAGTTTGATAGTTCCCATGTGAATCAAAATATAAAAATATGTTTCAATTTATGGAACAGTTACATCTTTCCATAGTCCCAGTCTGCTTTTACGATTTAGTATATTCTACAATAATTTAAACGCGTAATTATTTCTTAAATTTACGCGAACACTACATGACATACTATGACAAGACAAAAGAATCTATGAAATACCATGTATCGTTAATTAGAGCACATGTGCTTTTAAGAAGACAAAAACATTAAGTACTTACAATTTATGGGATGATGTGTTTCAACACATTAAACTGCCTGTAGACATTGTGTTGCCGTACGCCCAAGTACTCGTCACTTTAAATTCATGTTCCGGCGTTTCGATTCAAAAATTATATATGTGCGTGTCCGATCATTACAACGGCTCGCTCCAAAAAAAGACTAGGCCTCCCTTGGGCTACGCGCCACCGTCGATCCGTGGTAGGATTTCGAACTAACACGAAAGGTCAATTGCATGCAATTAGCTAGCTCGATTCGTCAATATACGTTAGCCGGACTAACTATGACATTGGGACGTCAAACATCTCAGTCCCCCCCCGTGACCATGGTTGCTGTAAAGCACCCGAAACGTCGGGAATTAAAAATAAGTAAAAGTAGTGAAATAAACGCGATAAAATCCGTAAATTTAGTTTTATTCAATGTGTAGTGTTCGCGTAAATTTAAGAAATCATTATGTAAAGCTGACGCAATAAAAAGGTATCTTTTTGGAGACATTGTCACCCTGAAAATATCTCTACCTGTACCATCCAAGTTCCATAAACCTTCAAGATCTTCATGTCCCGATTTGAAAACTCCAGCCAAAATGGTAAGACCCAAAAAAGTGTCCATTTCTGTCTTTTGTATGGAATTTGTTTGAGCACCAGTGCTTGAATTAGACTCTCTAAATTTCGCAATTTTTTTTGTTGGTATGTAAAATAATTATTTCAAGCATCTCATTTGTCACTAACAACTGCCGTGACTCCAACTCTGACATATTAGTTTTTTCACGAGCTGGGCCTACTAAGCCAGGAAGGTGTGTAATTATGTTATGCCTCCTCGTTCGGGATCTACTTGGAGCTGTTTTAGACCATTTGTAACGATAACAATTTGACCTCCATCATCCTCATCTTCTTCGCCCTCATCTCTCGTATTTTCGTTCCTCGTATTTTCTCTTATTCTCGTATTGTCCTCTTCGTTTTCACTGTCGTTAGAACTTATTCAAAATACACTGTCTTCTGAGCAACTAACAGGTTCGGGACTGTCTCGATCGCTGATGATTTCGTCGTCACAAAGTTGGTTTATAGTGTATAAGTGTCCTTTCATTTTCCGATACCGAATCATCATTTAAGTCGTCCATCAACTCCTCGATTTGTCTATCGTTCAAAAAGCCCCCCATTGTAGTACAAATATTTATTAAAACAAAAAAAAGTTACAAATTACACTCAGTGAAAAAAGTTACTTAATTGGTGTCGTGGGTCGAACGTGACCCAGCCGGCTACTTACCTCCGCTCCTAAAATGGTCGCAGCCATAGATTACTGCCTATATACTAGAGATAGATGAGCAACTCAAGTTTTATTTACGTTAAGTTCCGTGCCCAACCGTCAGGTGGCGTAAAATTAAGAGTGCTTTGGGCCCGCCCTTTATTTGCACTTTACAATTTTATATTTTTCAGAACCATTAATTACATTGCACAAGTGCTGCAATGTAATTAATGGTTCTTTATATTTCTTGTGCTAATTGCTAGTTCCTATTAATAAAATAAAAACCGGATATATTTAAAATGTTTATTGTTTAAAAATTTCTTGCCTAAATTAATAACATTAGATGTGTTAAATTTAACAATATTTGCACAATATCAATTGATTTCTTTAAACACATTCTTTTTAACTGGTTAGTTAAGTTAGGAAATATATTATGTTACAGAGAATACAATACAATAGAATTATTATTATTAAATATAGATTATTACACAATACTTATTGAAAGTCATGTTTTATTTACTACATATACCTCTGTCCTGGGAAGAACCAACAAGAAACCCAGCGGGATGTTTTTTTAAAACATATTTCACTTTACAATCATTTTGTTTATACATTTTTTAAATAAATTTTAATAGTACAGGCATGGTGGCGATCACCTCAATCACAGGGGTTATTATTGGTGTATTTTTTGATATTATAATAACACTTTTTGTACATTTTTCCTTAAATAAAACATTTCAACTTATTTATTGACAAATTTTGTACATTTTCTGAAATTTTGTTTTAAAAGCGTATATGTTGCCCCATAAAAGCACTACTGACTCAGTGGAGTCTAGTAACTGGTGTTACAAGCTTATGTTTGTTCTTAGATTTTAAAAGTATAAACATCTTTATTCTTATGAAAGCTTTTTATATTTTTATGTACATACATTAGTATATATATATATATATATATATATATATATATATATATATATATATATATATAATATATATGTACAACAATACATACATTATTGCTATGCCAAAGTTAATA